AAAATATGTGAAGGAAGGGGGATGGAGATACAAGTTCATGGAGATGAAATGTGGATGTCGATTTTCCAACTTAAAGGAGAGCTTTTTCTTGTGTTTTTAAGTAGATGATGATGGGTGTCAAATTGCCAGGATATTTAGATTTCACTGGGTGCCATCAAAATGGTGATGTTAAAGTTTTGTTTTAAAAAATGTCAACACTTACAGAAATGACATGTATACTATTTAGACTTAGAGTGAAATATTTTAGATGTCAACTTCCACGTGTGAGAGGATATACAGTTTCTCGGAATTGTTTGAGAGGGTTTGTGAGCAAACACTGACTACTACTACTACTACTACTACTGACTACTCCTGACTACTCCTGACTACTCCTGACTACTCCCTGAGGGCCCATTGGCCTGGGCTGGGCTGGGCTGGGCCCCTGAGGGAGGACGTGGACTCAGTTCCCTTGGGTCAAGGCATTATAGGTCAGGACACACCCTTATTCCAGGCACAGTGGTGGCAGGTCAGGAGAGACAGACTTGCCCTCCTTTCAGGGGCTTCATTCCTAAGAAATGGCAACGGCCATGGCTAGGCTCTGGGAAGGCTAGGCTGGAAGATGGGGATCAAGCCTGAGAACACTGGGCCAGCCCTGCCTTGCAGTAGCTCAACTCCACAGCCTGAGAATTGCCATTCCCAGAACCTTCATGACTAACGGCTCCTGGGTTTCCACTACCCCCTCTCTCACTGGGGCTCTGACCCTGACCACCCACCCTGCACAATATACAGGAGGCGGAGCCTGGATAGAGGCACTGTACCCATCATGGCAGGGAACACACCGATATCACCTCAGGAGAATACAAGGACTTGGAGTCTTCGAAACACTACCACATACAGTCTCACAGGGGATTCTCATGGCCTCCCAGTGGGACAGGCAGATGACTCTGATTGACAGATGAGGAAATAGGGGTTCTCCAAGGAAGTGCGACTCTCCCAGGCAAGCCAAAGGGAACCCAGGTGTCTTAGCTCAGGCCACCATAAGGAAATACAACAGAATGGGCAGCTTAAATGACAGACCCTGATTTTCTTATAGTTCTGGAGGTTAGACGTCTGAGATCAGGGTTGGTTTCTGCTGAGAGCTCTCTTCCCAACTTGTGGGTGGCTGCCATCTCTTTGTGTGCTCACAGAACCTCTTCTTTGTGCATTTGGGGTGGGGGAGAGGGGAGAAAGAGAGACAGTGAGAGAGAGAGACAGACAGGCAGGCAGGCAGGCAGAGAGAGAGAGAGCTCTCTGGCATCTCTTCTTAGGAGAACAGTACTCCTATCGGATCAGGGCCTTATGATCTTCTTTAACCTTAATTGCCCCCTTCTAGGCCTTATCTCCAAATACAGTCACCGGGGTTTGGGGCTTCGGCATACAAACGTACATACATACACTCATACAAACATTGGGGAGAAAATTCATAGCACCACGTGCTCCATAACGGAGCCTTAAAGAACACGGTTCATTTTACCGCTGCCTCTCTTCAAAGTGTACACAGTTCAGTGCATTTTGAAAATTGCATCCACCCAGTGACTGACCCAGCCCCCTGTCAAGCTACAGAGCATTGCTGTCTTCAGAAAGTACCTTTGACCTCCCTGCCAGTCACTCCTACCTCCCTGGAGGCAACCGCCCTCGGGATTTCCTGCACCACAGATCCTTTTTGCCTGCTCTTGCATTCTGTATCAATGGAATCATACGGTGTCACGCTCTGGTGTCTAACTTTTCTCACTCTGCATATTGCCTGTGAGACACACCCACGTGGTTGTGAGGGTCAGAGGTCCACAGCGTAGGGATTCACAGCAAGCCCCTTATCCCTTCTCCTGCTGATGGGCATTGGGTTTGGCTCCAGTATGGGGCTATGACGATGAAAGCTGATAGAAACATCCTTGAGTGAGCCTCTTTGTGTTCCATTCTCCTGGGTAAAAACAAGTAGGAGTGCCAGGGCTGGGTCACAAGGTAGGTGGATGAGTTGTTCAAAATGACTGCACGCAGATGTCTAAGGATGTTCTGACAATTCACACTCCCATCACCAATTCTCGAAAAGAGAACCATCCCAACCCTGACCCAAAGCAGAGACAGGCTGGCCACCACTCGAGTCTGGCCACGTCCTGAGTCCCGCATTTGTACAGAGCCTGCTGCTACCCAGCTCCCCCAGAGGGACTGCCATGAGTTACAGAGTGTGCTGCAGGCAACCAGGTCTGTGAAGGACCGATGGAAGACATGCTGCCACTTACCCAGCCCAGCGGTACCCTGAGTGGGGAAGCATGAGTGCCATGTTGGGGTGATGCTCCAAAGGGCCGTGTGGGCCCAATAGGAGCCACCTGCACCTGTGAGGTTTCAGTGGGCAGGTGGACACAGAGGGTGCTGGCAGCCAGGAAGAGGCCGAGGAGGTACTGTTCCCAAGGTAGGAGCTGCCAGCAAAGGAATGGCGGGTTCAGAAAGGGAGGAGCGGACGCGCCTGGCTGCCCAAGAGTCTGTGGAAGGTTTGGGGCAGGGCGGGGAGCCGCCAGGTGCTGGGAGCAGGAGCTGGGTGTGTGAGCAGAGTGGGTGGTGGAGGAAGAGAGGTGTTGAGCAGCCAGAGCAGTCTTCGGCTGGCAGAGACCGGGTCTGAAGTCACAGTTTAGGAAGTGTGGGTGGGCACCGCCTGGTAAGAAGATGGGAGGGAACTCCAGGCTCTCCCTGGAGGAGACGGGAGGGGTCCATTTGGCTGTGCAGGGCTTGGGCCCTTGACGATTGTGGTGCAAAGCAAAGAAACCCTTCCTGGGTTGTGAGCAGAAAATGCTCCCCCTCAACCTGTGGAGGTTAAGGGACACATCCGAGGTCACCCAGCTGGGGAGCAGCCAGGTGAAGAGAAACACTGAAACCGTGCCTGTGTTCTGTGTGCTCAGCTAGGCTGGCCATCCCTTGGACTTTATTTGTAACAGCTACTACTAGAGGAGGTGTGTTATGGCTCAGACAGGCATGCGCAGGGTGCTGGTGGCAGTGGCGTCTGTGGTAGCCGAAGACTGGGAACAGTGTGAGTGCCCATCCACAGGATCATAGACAAATAAACCAGGGCTCTGATTCAATGAGGAGCATGAGTGAGCTGGATGCTCGGAGGAAACCTTGACCAGTATAGCTTGAGTGTGCAAAGCAAGTCACAGAAGAGGATGTCTGGCCAGACGCCAGGCAAGGAAAGAGAAGGGGGGCGGACAGGCAACAACACCGGAGGGTGTGACCCTGAGGGAACCTGTCTGCCCTCTGACCAGCAGAGAGGCTGTGCACATGGCCCCAGACTCCCATGACAGGACAGGTGCAGGGTGCCGAGACCCAGCGGGACTGGAGCTCCATTTTGAGTGGTGGCAGCACTTGCCCTGGTACAGTGACCAGCACCTAGGTAGCAAAGGAAAGGGGAAAGATCTGTGGAAGAAGGCTGACTCGGGGCCAGAGAGACGGAGGTCTCTGGGGAGGCATGACACCCATGCGGCCCTCAGGGGCCAAGAGAGCAAATGTCTCAGAGCCCATTAGTCTGGCGAGGGCACAGGGGGCTGGGGACACATCCAGTGCTCCACTCCCAGCCCACCGGCTCTCCTGTACACACACACCCTCAGGTAGAGACCCCAATTCTGTCGTTCCACTGAGGCCCAGAGAAGGGGCAAGAAATTGCCCAAGGACACAAGGCAAGATACAGGCCCAAGAGGTTGACTTCTAAGTACTTGAAGTGAGCAAAACAGGACAGAGTCCGTGGCACGCTCCTTGGGGCTGGCCACTGGCACTGGGGTAGCGACGCGCCTTGGCCGGTCGTGCACCCACAGTGGCCTCGGCCCGCAGCGACAGCGTGGGGACTGCCGACCCTGCGTTGGGGTGGAGTGTGTGAGTGCTCGTGTGCGCATGTGGCGTCTATTCCACGTAATCGCACCTGGACGAGGTGCTTCTCGCTGAGCGGGGACAGGACCAGTTCTGGGTGGGGTGGAGGAGGGGGGGAAGCAGGCGAAGAAGTCCCCAGAACGCCGCCCGCCCCCCCCCCGCCCCGCCCCGGTCCCGTTCCCCACCCATGCCAGAACGCAGCGCTGGGGGGCGCATCTCAGGCCTGTCCAGCCACTCTCCGGTGGGCACCCGGGGATGCGGAGCCCTCGCCACGCTGACGCCCTGAGGGCACGTTCCGGGAGCGGCGGGCGGTGGCCAGAGATGCGTCGAGGATGGGGGCACCGACTCGCGGATCCCCAGGGTGCCCACCTGTGCCAGCACCCCCTCGGGGGCGGGGGAAGGAGCAGGTGACGTCACGCGCGGTCCCGGGGTGCCCGCGGCGGTGGCCGCGTGACCCGCGCGCGCCAATGGCCCGGCGATCTCCGGGGCGACGCGGAGGGTCCGCGCTCCGCCGCCACTGCCCCCCGCCCCGAGTCCGCACTGCAGAGAGTGGAGGCGAGCAGGCGCCGGCGCGCTGGCCCACGTGCCGCGCGGAGAGAGGGACCGGGAGAGGAAGAAGGAGAGGGAGGGCGAGAGAGCCGGGGCAGGAGGGCCGCACGCCCCGGCCGCGGCTCCGCGCAGCCCCTGCGTGCCTCCTGCTGGGACCTCCACCAGGAAGGACCCCGACCCAGAGGAAGGTACCAGATCCGGGGAGGGTGCTCTTGGCCCCCGGGAGGCCCCGCCGCCCGCCCCCAGTAGGACTGCGGCAGCCCGCGTGCGCGGGGGGACGGGGTGGGGAGGGGGCTGTGGCCCCTGCGGGCCGGTGGAAGGCGGGGCAGGGGTCGAGCCTGGGCTGCCGAGGCGCCGCCCCGGGGGAGTAGGGTCACCTGGGGGTGGGAGGGGGGCGTCGGCATTAACCTCGCTCTCGCCCCGTTCGTATTCACAGGCTGTGGAGACCTGGGCCGTTCTCTCCGAGTCCTAGCCCCACCCCACCCCCCCCAATTCTTTTCCCCCGGCCCAGTACCACCCTGGTCTGCGTCGGAATCCGTTTCCTGCCCCTAGTATTAGCCCCGCGCCAGCGGAAATTGCGCGCGATGGAGGTGACGATGCTGCAGGACTGGTGCAGGTGGATGGGCGTCAGCGCTCGAAGGGGTCTGCTCATTCTGGGCATCCCGGAGGACTGTGATGAAGCCGAACTCCAAGAGTCCCTGGAGGCCGCCCTGTGGCCCATGGGCCACTTTACCGTGCTGGGCAAAGTGTTTCGAGAGGAGGATAATGCCACTGCGGCCCTGGTCGAGCTTGACCAGGAAGTCAACTATGCTTTGGTCCCCAGGGAAATCCCGGGCACCGGGGGTCCCTGGAACGTGGTCTTTGTGCCTCGTTGCTCAGGCGAGGAATTTCTCAGTCGCGTGTTCCACTTCCTGGAGCAACAGGGGCAGACGGTGGAGAGTGTGGCTGGGGCCCTGGGGCTGGGACTGCGCAGGGTGTGCTGGCTCCGATTGGTCAGTCAGGCAGTCCAGCCCTGGGTGGAGACCGTGCGGTATCAGCGCCTGGGCGTGTTTTCCGGGAGGGATCAGCCCGCCCCGGGGGAGGAGTCCTTTGAGGCCTGGCTAGACCACAGCGCCCATATGCTGCACGTGTGGCAGGGGGTCTCGGAAAGGGAGAAGAGGAGGCGGCTGATAGAAGGCCTTCGAGGGACGGCCCTGCAGCTCGTGCATGGGCTCCTGGCGGAGAATCCAGCCAGGACGGCGCAGGACTGCCTGGCGGCCCTGATCCAGGTGTTTGGAGACAATGAGTCCCAGGCGACCATCCGGGTGAAGTGTTTGACCGCTCAGCAGCAGTCAGGCGAGCGGCTTTCTGCTTTCGTGTTGCGGCTGGAAGTCCTGCTGCAGAAAGCCATTGAGAAGGGGGCCCTGGCCAGAGCCTCAGCTGACCACGTGCGCCTGAGGCAGGTGCTCACCAGGGCCAACCTTACCGAGCCTCTGGATGAAGCGCTGAGGAAGCTGAGAATGGTTGGGAGGTCTCCAAGTTTCCTAGAGATGCTGGGGCTTGTTCGGGAGTCTGAGGCATGGGAGGCCTGTCTAGCCAGGAGCGAGAGAGCCCAGGCAGAGGAAGGGGCTGGTGCCAGGGCCAATGCCCAGGCTGATGCCAGAGCCAATGCTAAGGCAGAGGATGATAACGTGGAGGAGAAGGAGCAGGAGGAGCAGGAGCGGGAGGAGGAGGACAGTGACGATCGTGACACTGTCCCTGCAGGCCTAGGTCAGGCAAGACCCTCCGAGGCCCCTGGGGGCCCCACTCCTGCCCAGATGGGTAGTGTTTCCAGGGCGGGCCCAGGAGGTCCTGGCTGTGAGCCAGAGGGTCTTGCCCAGGCAGGAGACCAGGAGGCTGGGGAGCCCCCCGAGAAGGGGCTCAAGCCCATCCCAGAGGAGTCGGGAAACGAGGGTGGCGCTGGGAAGACGAGCCCCCCCAAGTCCTCCTCCAGCAAATAGGCTCAGAAGGCCCAGGGGCCCCGTCTCCTCTCAGGCAGCAGAGTTCTGGAGGCAGAGGGAGGCCATGCCAGGGCAGCAGCCTCGCCCCACATGGGGAGCAGGGCCGAGGGAGGGGCCCGCCCAGCCCAAGCCAAGCCCCGGGCACTCCACCACCCCTAAGGTTACCTGAACACCACCACCAGCCCTTCCAAGTGACCAAGATGACCATACTTGACACCAAATGGGGCAGGGAGAGGTGCCCCCCCACCCATGGCAGCACCACACCCAGCCCCAGCCCCAATCCATGCCAACTCAGGCAGCCACTCTGGGAAACGTCCCTGAGTGGCTGGCCCCAGCCTAGGGGAGGGGCACCTGAAGCCATCTGCCACCCACACTGTACTACGAGATGTTAGGGGCCATTTCAAAGGTGCCAGCCTCTTGGGTCTCCCGAGAGGGAGACACTCATTTACTTCCCCTGGGGCACGTTGCTCCATGTTCTGGGAAGCCCGCTTGTGTCTCTGTAGGGCCCTTAGTGACCCACGTCTCAAGTGACTCCCCCACCCCACTAGGGACCATTCTTGTGCAGAGCCTTGAGGTGTGCAGGAACCCGCCGTGGGTGTCCTGGTCTACCGGGGCAGCCACCTCTCAGCCCGGGTGCGTGCCATGAGCTTCAGCGGGAACCAAGGCTCTGCTCGCTCTCTTCCAGTGTTGTGAGCTCAACCTCTGCTTTCTCGGTGTACATTTAGGCCAACCGCTGCTTGTTCTTGTGGACATGTGTGTGTTTTGTTATCTGAGCAGCTGCCCTCCCCCCCCCCGAAATCCCGAGCCCAGTTCCAGGACACGGCGGGAAGGATGCCCGAGGGCACGGCTGGTGTTCACCCCGTGACCTCAGGAAGGAAGAACCGGACCAGGGATGGAGGTGGCCGGCGGGAGTCTCCACGGGAACTGTGCCCTGATGTGCCACCCTGTTGTTCCTTGCGACTCCGTTTCCTTGGCTTGGCCGAGTGCCCCATGCTGCGTTTTCCAGCGTCCTGGGACTGTCCTGTGCAGGCCAGAGGGCAGGACCAGGCCCCAGCATGTCGGCCAGAGGGGAGGGTACCCCGGAGTGAGGGGACATGACCAGCGTCCACCGTCCTGGCCAGAGGTTGATCGTGGGGCCCTCAGGAAGGGAGGCTGAGGCAGGAGGGCCGCGGTGTTGGGGGAAGCGGAGGCACCTCGTTTGGGACCCCAAGAGGAGGGGGCCCGTGACCTATGGGCTCTAGTGGCCGTTAGGCGTTCCTGTCTGTTGTCATTCCCTCTGTTCGATGGTTTCAGTAAATGTTTCTCTTCAATAAATTTCATTGCATGTTTCAGCTGAGTCTCGCCTCTGCTGTGGGCAATGGATGGAAGGGTCTGCTGGGGTTGGAGGAGGGAGCCAGAGAAAAGATTTTTGTCCAGTACCCACGGGAGACTTCTCCAGTGAGAGGTCATGTGAGGCACTTTGACGGGAAGACTAGGATATGATCAGGACCTTGCCTTTATTTTATAAATTATTTACAAAGTTTAGGGTTCCATTGGGTCATCCTGGAATGGTCCTGTTCACTTTGCCTTTTGAAATTAAGTGGGGCTCATTGTAATTTTCCCCTTTAGTAGGGGGAAGTGGTCACAGGCATCCAGTTCCTGAGACTGAAGATTGCTTCAGGTGTGTGATACATGGGGGTTACTACCTAAGTAGTTTGTCCCCTCCCTCAAAGGGGAGGTGGGCGGGGGGTGTGATGGCCAAGGGTTGGAAGGTAGGGCAGGCTGGGTTCCACAGACCTCATGCCCTGTGTAGTGGGAGGAAATTCTTGGGAGACGAACCCAGTCGTTCCATGTTTGAGACATTCTCTGCGACAAAAATATATAAACAAATTGAAATGCTATTTTACTCATTGTGATTTTTACTCACTGTGCTGAGACTCCACATTTTTGAAGTTTCCACCAC